AAAAAAAAAAAAAAAATCGCCAAAGACGCCGGTGTCGAAAACGTGCTCGCTCACTCACTAATTTTAATTCTCTTTTCATTTTTTTTATTATTAGTTTTATTTTCTGTATCGTATTTTTATTTCAAATTTGGTAACGAATTTGGATATAATGCTCAGGCAAATGTTGTTTATTTTATTTTTCTTCATAACATTTTTGTTTTTCAGAATTTTGTGAATTGCTTTTTCTTTTCCTTTTTTTTTGTGGGGGGGGGGTGTCTGCGTTCTACCCGAACGGCCGAACGCATCCCCAAGGGTTCCCGTCCGTTCGGGCGTCCGGGGGCAAGGTCCCACTTGCACGGATTAAGAGATTCTGGCCGTTGATCTTTGCTATCTACGGTCAATATCGCTTAATTCGTGTAAGTGGGACCTATCCCCGGGTTCGGGCGTTCGGCCCGTCCCGAACGCCGGTTACCCTGATTACATATATAATTACATACGTATATATATAATTATATAATTATATAATTATATCCGAGCGAAAGAGACTGTCACAGCCCCTGGTTTCTTCTGCCCTTTCTCCATTTCTAAATATCCGTTCACCGAGCAGTTATAAATATATCGTTATATATATTGTTATATATATATATATATATATCGTTATATATATATCGTCAAACAGAGCTGTGCCTACGGTAGGCAGAGAGGGAGGGAGAAGAGGACAACAAACGAGGGGCTGTGACAAACTGTTTCGTCGGAGTTTCAGCGACTCATCAGGAGGCTGATATACTTTATCTCAATGCTATCATATCTCTATACTGCCCGGTAAACAACCTCTTGCGTACAAGGCCGCCCACGTGGATGTAGGTTGAGCGGCGATATAGATATAGAGAGACATTGTTTACCACGTTCAATCTGCATGACCACGTTACGTGGCAAAAATCTATTACCACAGTAATTATACACACACTGTATGTTCGTCGTCCGAGGGCCATCAATCTCGCCCGACATGCAGAACCTTTTTTGCATTGCACACGCGCACACATACGATACGTGGCAAGGCGGCCGACAAAATTTCTTCGCTGATGCGTATGTCACTCCTTGCAAAAGGGCCATGCTAATCTTCTTTCTCTATACCGTTCCAGTGTTAACTGGATGTCCCGGAGCACGACCGATGGAAAAAGAAAAGAAAAAAAGAAAAAAAGAAAAAAATCGCTTCGCGGGTCCGCATCAAGAACGAGCAGAAGTAGAAAATTCCCGCCGGCCTAAAGAAACCAAAACACACACACACACACACACACACACACACACACACACACACACACACACACACACACAGATACACTGATACTTGACGGCTGTATAACTCCATCATCAGTGACTTGTGTTTACGTCGGTTGTATTGAACAAGTGAATGTACCTTGAGATTACCTCCGGTCATTCTGCGGGCGCGCTGATGATTGACTTCGACCGCCCTCTCCCCCCCCCTCCCTTTTTTTCCTTTTTCGCCCTTTTTTTTTTTTTTACTGCCCCAATTTTTCCGTTTTTGCCTTCCCCCCCCCCCTCTCCGAATGTGGCACGCATCGTCTCTATATCTCGATCAAACCCGCGTAGATGGGGTCTGAGAGGAGGGAGGAGAACGTCAACCGTCGTCGGATCGTTAATCTAACGGACGGGCCAACCGAAAACTGCTTCGTTGCCATGTTTGCTTCTTCCCAAATGAGTGCAGAGAGGGGGAGGACAAGGAAAAGGGAGAGAGGGAGACGGGGGACGGGGGGAAGAGGGGGAAGAGGGGGAAGAGGGGGAAAGGAGGAAAAGGGGAAAGGGGGACGGGCGACGAGGCAGAGAGGAGGAAGGCATCGTCTCTTATCTCGATCAAACCGCGTATGAGAAGAAGAAAAAGAGGCAGAAGAAGAAGAAGAAGAAGAAGAAGAAGAAGAAGAAGAAATGTTTTCCGTACAAAGGAGGAGGAAGAGGACGAAGAGGAGTAGAGGAAGAGGGAGAGGGGGAGGAGGACGAGGAGTAGGTAGAGGAGGTGGAGAAGTAGGAGGAGGAGGAGGAGGAGGAGGAGAAGGCGGTGTAGGAGGAGGAGAAGGGGGTGAGGAGAAAGAAAGAGGAAAGAAGCCACGAGAAGAAGACGATTGGATTCACGACGAGCAAATGCAATGCACATAAATTGTATGAGGGGCTGAACGGGGGAGAAGGGGGGGAAGCGGGAGAGAGGGAGAAGGAGGAGAGAGCAGAGAAAGATCAGCTTCTGGAAAAAAACGTTGAGGCAAGAAGCAGGGGAGGAGGAGGAGGAGGAGGAGGGAGGAGGAGGGAGGAAGAAGAGATTTTTGCCAACAGTGTAGTCTGTACCCGACGAGCCCGAAGACAGGAGGAGAGAAATGACTCGGGGGGGGGGGGTAGAACGAGGACGAGGAAGAAAACAAGGTACCCGTTCTTATGAAATGACCAATTGAGAAGGGGGTGCGGAAAGACCTATGATAGAAAACAAGGTACCCGTAAGAGGAGCAGAAGATACATGATCCCAACAAGGCTACCGCTTCTCCTGAAAGGGAAAAAAAAAAAAAAGGGGAAAGAAGAAGATTTGTGAACTGCATAGATAGAGGACTTATTTTCGAACCATGAAGAGGATATCTCTGTTTAGTTCAGCCTCTGATTAGTAGGTAGGTGAAACTCCGACGAAACAGTTTGTCACAGCCCCTCCCTCGTTTGTTGTCCCCTCTTCCTCTTCTCCCTCTCTGCCTACGGTTTACCGCACGCACAGCTCTGTTTTGACGATATATATAATAATAATAAAATAAAATTAAAAAAACAGAGAGAGGATACTTGCCCGCGCAGTGTGTCTAAACACCAAGCAAGCCCTTTTTATTCCCTTTTGAATTGGACAATTTCTCGATTAATGCGTGTCATTCTTGCACAAAGGTAATGCAAATTTCCATTCTGTATCAATCCCGAATTTTAATGGACCTTTGTTCTTCTAACTCTCAGTTTCCGAACCCCTTTTTCCGCGCACGTGACGGCCGTTGGTCAGATGGCTACAATTAGTATAAACGTGCACGTGACGGCTACAATTATTATAAACGTGCACGTGACGGCCGAGGTCTCTCACCGGCAAAAGGATTTTTATTTTATTGTTTTCACTCGAACGAATTACAGTGAATCTGGCCAAACCCGGCAGTGACCGCGCAGTCCGAAGAGAGAGAGAAAAGAAAAAAAACTGTAGCCCGAAAGGGAGGAGTTTCGTCAATCCAACCTACACAGGGAGGGAGGGGGTGGGGAGACCTACGCCTTTTTCTCTTTTTTCAGTTCCTCGGTTGCAGTGAAGAACCTACACAGATTAACCAGAGGCAACCGCGGGGGGGCCGGAGAGAGACACAGAGAGAGAGAGAGAGAGAGAGAGAGAGAGAGAGAGAGAGAGAGAGAGAGAGAGAGAGAGAGGGATTGGCGCAGTGCTCTGGAGAGGAAAAAGATGATGGAGACGAAGAAGAGGAGGATAAGACCCAGGGGAGAGAGAGAGAGAGAGAGAGAGAGAGAGAGAGAGAAGGCAGGGGAGTGAGATCGAGCTTCAGTGCCGAAAGCTAAGTAACCAATCAGCAGGTGCGGCCTCCACCATTCGCGACCTCAGATGATGAGTAGGAATAACACGCAGGAAGGAGAGAGAGAGAGAGAGAGAGAGAGAGAGAGAGAGAGAGAGAGAGAGAGAGAGAGAGAGAGAGRCAACTGCAGATGACCTGCAGCAGCACAGCAAGACAACAAAAAGGATAGAAGGCTGCGACAGCCGGATTCAGTAACAGACTTCGCTAAAAGAACTCGATAACACGATTCGATCAACAGAATTCCATACAAGGATTCTACAAAAAGATTCGAGAGATGGATGGGATGAGATAATCGAACGGGACAATTGATTGTAATGATATGATGATATCCATCAAGGAAGAGATAATGGTGTTCATCGATCTCACCACTTGATACGTTTCGTTGGAATCGATCTCGCGCCGAATGATACCATAAAGAAGCAGGGAGGCGTAGGAGCGGAACAGAGCAGCAGCAGCAGTGTAGCGAAGCGAAGCAGGCCGCTCGGCTTCCAGGCGGCCGTTCAGTTCAGCTGGTCGTTGAGGCGGCCGGCAGACTACAACTCTACAGCGGTGCCCTTCTTTACCCGAACCCGAGGCAGCAGATCATGAATGCATTTGGTCCAGAATGGGGTTAGGGTACGTTCACGACCATAGTCCGTAGCTCAAGAAAAATACTGCTACTTCTCCTATCGCTCGGGCTACAGTACTAACTATTGGTAGCACTCACAGGGCATACTCACACTACCTACCGGTAGGATTTTTTGACTCAGCTCTGGACGTTACTGCCGCCAGATGCATTATGTTCGGCCGTAATTGCGCTCAGATACAGGGTTTTGCCACACCACTGTCGAAACGAAAAACGAACGAATGCATCTTCCCACAGAGATGGGCAAATGCATCCGTTACTACTTACCACTTTCTGCGGCAGATGCGTTCTTTCTCTTATCATGTCGACAGGGCTAGTGTGAGTATGCCCTCAGAAGCATCAATGAAATCAATGAACTAAGCGTGTGAAAGAGTGTCACGAGTGGGTTGGGGTGGGGTGGGTTGGGGTGGGGGGGGGTGGGGTGGGTGGGTGGGGTGGGGTGGGGGAAGAGCGCGGGGTACAAAAATGAATTCACCCATCGGCGGAGGGGTTTATCACCTGTCGGGGTGTTGCCCTCCTCTGGCGGGACCCGCCTCGTCCACAACGGAAAGTTGAAAGACGACCGATGCAATTTTCACGTTTTGTCAGTCCAGCGAGGGCCTCCGCGTAGAGGGGGGCGGCTCACACCTTTTCTTTTCTTTTTTTCTTTTTTTTTCTTTTATGGGTCGGCTCACACCCGCCCGACCTCAAGCTGTGAATGAACGAAAACAATTGCCAATTCATAACGGTCATCATCAATTCATAACGGTCATCAATTCATAACAGTTGTCAATTCGCTAGAAGATTCATTAGAATACCGTTAGGGATTGGGTGCACAGTTTTTGTTGTTTGTTTTCTCTTTTCTTTTCCTAGAATTCATTTCATTAGAATACCGTTAGGGCTTGCTTGGGTGCACAGTTGTCTTTGCCTGGGAGAGAGTTGAGAAACGGTCCGAAGAGTCCCATCGAGCCAGCTTCGGTGAAGGCCGGCGGAAGGGCCTCGCCCACCACTCTCGAAATATGGAAAAGACAAAAAATGTGGCGGGCGCATCTGGCCATGTTCCATCAAGAAGTTTCGAGAGTGTCCCGCTGCGAAAGGCCGAAGACGTTCCCAAAAAAACAAAACAAAAAAAAAGGCCGAAGACGCGGCCCCTGTATCCCTTCTACAGTGTAGGCAACTGCAATCTCCCCTCCACGATCCGTTTCGAAGGGGCCTTTCCAGAGGGATTTTACGCCCTTAGGGCTTCGTGCCACTACTCGCCATCCGCCGCAAACAGTGGCGAGACTTGGCGAGGCCGAAAAGTGCATTTTTCTGGCGGAAAACGGCTCTTGGTTCCATTACATGGCGGCCGCCAAGTGCCCTGTGGTTCCAAGTGCCCTGTGGTTGCTGTCCGGGCCTGCTCCCCGGATTGTGGGAGGCCAAAAAGTGCATTTTTCTGGCGGAAAACGGCTCTTGGTTCCGTTGCATGGCCGCCGCCAAGTGCGCTGTGGATGCTGTCCGGGCTGCTCCCCGGATTGTGGCGGGTGGCGGGCTAATAGAAAGGTGGTGGCTTTCTCTTCACCATGTGCTCGGACTGGAAATAACTCCAGGTGCAGCCAAAACTCGCCAAAACTACGGGAGAATGCAGGTCGACTGTCAGGACAGCGGTGTCAGGGCCAATCACCACACGAAGCATTTCGCGGAGGGGTGAGGAGTAGCGCCCTCCACAAAGGGCCGTTGCAGGCAGGGGAAATGGAAAGCCTTGGCGACCCATACAGCCAAGTGATTTCAGACCCAAATTCTGACAGCGTCCATTTCCTGGCTATTGGCGATGCAGTGGAATGAAGTCGCATCCGCCATGCGTGGCGAATGGCAAGTAGTGGAAAGAGGCCCTACTCGCCATCTGCCACAAACAGTGGCGAGACTTGGCGAGGCCGAAAAGTGCATTTTTCTGGCGGAAAACGGCTCTTGGTTCCATTATATTACCGCCGCCACATGCGTTGTGGTTGCTGTCCCGGACTGCTCCCTGGACTGTGGCGGATGCCGGGCTAATGGAAAGGTGGCGGCCTTCTCTTCACCATGTACTCGGACTGGAAATCACTCCAGGTGCAGCGAAAACTCGCCAACACTACGAGACAACGCAGATCGACTATCAGGACCGCGGTGTCAGGGCCGATTGCCACACGAAGCATTTCGCGGAGGGGTGAGGAGTAGCGTTGTCGAGCGCATCGGTCCGGCACTACTCAAAGGCAGCGCGGGACCCTCCCGCTTGTCCATCGCCTTGATGAGATCGTCGAGGGTCAAGACTTTGCCCGAACTGTCGCCTATGCCTCCCGACATGCTGGCAGTTTGCTCTTCACTTAACTTTCCTGTTACAAAAAGCGGTAAGAACCAAACTTCACTCAGCACCTTAACCCATCACTATCCTATCGAACTAACCTCTTATCCCTTACACTGTCACCCTCTTCCTTCCCAGACTTACTCCCATGAAGTTTATTCTCCCTATGAGCCTTCCGCATAATCATATTAGCCATATATATAGCCATACAATCCTCGTATGGTCCTACTTATAGACTTACTTCAGATCTTCCTATTCATGCTTGATTCTCTCCTTACTTTAATACCCGGATGTCGTTCCACCAGGGACAACGGCAGGCAATCCGTTATCCCCGGCAACGGCGCCACCTGTCGAGCGCATCGGTCCGACACTACTTAAGGCAGCGCGGGACCCTCCCGGCCGCGTCACGCAGGAGTTGGTCTAATCCTCGTCGCGAATATATACATGGAGCTTCCGCAAGCTGCTCCGGCCGAGTGCGCCAGCCATACCTCTCGCGAGCCCCTACGACAGGACAGGGCCTACACGAGGCACGACTTACCTCCACCTTACGGGAGCTGTCACCTCCCTTCGGTGGGCGGTTCCCCGCCGAGCTACCAGTCCACAGTACGAAAGCTAATCAGTTGCAATCGCAGAGGTGGACCAGCCGAGGGTGTTTCTCGTTCGCTGTAGCATAGGGGCCACGCGAGGTAGTACGCCTCTATCGAACCCGCACGCGAACCGACATCTTGGGGGGCTGAGGTCCCAAGCGCGACTCGTCGCCGGTCGACTAGGACGCATCCCACACGCCACGTGCACACCACTCTAAAGAACACAGCAATAAAACACACACCTATCATACACACGGCACGACATAACATAACCAACGCGCCAACGCTCCTAGTCCCTCGGTAGCCTTCCCATAACTCTCTGATGCGAAAATTGGATAGGCGTCGCGCGTGAGACTTGGTATAAACCCGCGCGGACGCAGAGCCTTCTCATATCGATTTGCGATGCCAAAGTACGCAAGTAGTCGCGAAGATGGTGTGCTATGCAGTACCCATATTCATGGGGCCCTAGGTAATACGCGAGGGTCACCTTCGACACTCAAGTGTCGGCTGACACGCGCCTTGAGGGGTTAATCTCTCGGCGCTGGACAACCGCTATGAGCGGTTGAAGATCACACACCCTCTTCTGCACCCTATGCAGAGTGGGTAGTACACATGTCCATATCTGTTGTGGCAGCTGTTTCTTGTTGCCCTGGAGATAAACCCCACTCTAGGCCCGGACACGAGTCAAGGGTTTTGACTTTGACGGCTGTCACGGACTACAACGTCCAACCATAATAATCCCAAAAAGTCAGTGTAGGTCGAAGGCCTCCCTGCCCCAAAATCACAATCTTGGGTACCCCCACTTTTCTTGCCGTTGGCTTCACGGCCTATGCCAACGCTGAACACTCGGGCGCCCGTCCGAGTCTCTCGATCTCATAACTGCAGACCATAGGACGGCGGACCGTCTCGCGTAAGATTTTGATATAAAGTCGCACGGTTGCAGGCCCGTCCTTTTTTTTTTTTTTTTTTTTTTTTTTTTTTTTAACAAGCTTCATCTATTGGTGGGGAGAAGCACCTGCTGGAAACCGGGTCCAGCGTCCCATAGATACAACCATATCCTCACTAATTGGTACGAGCTGGAAATCGGGCCCAGCGTCCCATAACGAGTACGTTCATACCAACCAACGATGCTAATTATATGTGATAGTCGCAATCTCGGCCTCGCGATATTGAATGGCTGAAGGAATATATCGTGGGGGGTTACCCCTTACGATATTGAACGGTTGAAGGACATGCCGTTCATCCCCCGCGACACCTCTGCCCTCTGGGTTGGGTGTCTCGGCGGGCAGAGCAAATAGGCTATGTCTAGAGTATTAATTTTCTGACCTTGCACTGTGCTCAGCAGACGTTTCGCGTCTTATCTGATGCCAGATAAGAGAATCGCAGATATCTGGAAAAAGGCTAGAGGTGTGTCTTGTCTAGGCTGAGCGAGGGAAGGGTCCTTCTCTGCAGAGCCTAGGGCTTGGGGTGTCCTGAACAAGGACCTTGAACCCCGGCGTAGGACTAACGTCCGACCGAGAATTCAAAAAAAGTATACAAGCAAGAGGGATGGTTTTTCTGCCTACCTCTCCCCTATTTATCCCTTAATATGATGGTCCCTTGGGCCATACGAACCTCCCACGTAGGTATACACACACACACACATATATATATATATATATATATA